TTGTTGTTGAAACCTTTGGTCTAGTATATTTAGGCCTACACAGATCTGCCGCGACTATACAATATCATACTATAGCGAACTGGACGCAAATCATACATGCCTTTGCAATTTTCTTGTGTAGACTACTTTAAGGTTACTGAGTGCATCTCGAGTATTGTTTTTGGAATTCAGGGGAACATTTTCAACGCTGTGCACGAATTGCATGCTTGAACGGAAAAGCGAATGACTGTTGCCGAAGAAATCTGCTTTTTATAACTTTTGCGGGTTCACTTCATCTAAGTAGATTGTTTTCTATTCGTCTTTTTTTGCAAATTTTCTATTTAAATTTTTTCTCCCTGCTGCGTGACGAGGGAAATGATTAAGGGTAGGACTACAACCTCCATAACTGCCTTTCTTTGTAATTAAGATGAAAATTATTCTGACGCCCTCATCATCTGCATAGTTTGCCTGATACCACACCGAGCTCTTCCAAAATGAAGTGTTTGCAGTTTCTGAACCTACCTCGTCTACAACTTCAGCTGATGCTGTGGAGCAAGTTGCTAACGAAGTCGTATCGGAAGCCATTGATGAATTGTTTCAATCGTAAGATTTGCGTCGCCTAAAATGCTCTACACCGTGTCTTCGTATGAAATCTCGTCAATGTTTTGAATATCGTAATTTATTTTGTTATGGTATGTGGATTTGATCTGGAGACGGTTTTCCATCCAATTATCATTGTGCTATTCAGCTAGCTAAGTTATTGTCTTTATAATGGTGTTAGTACAGTGTGTGCCGTAGCTTTTAATAGAACGTTCCGATGTGTGCTTGGTCCTTCAGATATATTCTCTGTGATATGAACATAGTTCTTCGGAAAAAAGGCGTTTCCCTTGCAGTTTTGGTGGCTGTTTACTGGTATATACATATAAATGTGCTTATTGTGTGTATGTGTAGGTATAGCTTTCTAATTTCATTTCTTAAAATTTTGCTATCTCCTTCATTGCCCTTATCTTTCCTGTAAGAATTTCATTCTCTCTTCTTTTTTTTTGTATTGAAATTGTAACACCTAAATACATGAAGTACAAAAGCGCTAGATTCCCTTTTGATTCCCTTCGATGATTCTAAAGTGCTTCTAATTTCACTGGGTTCCATTTGTAACACTGAACAATGTATTAACTGTTTTCCAGCTTATAACATTAAGCTATGCAATATATTTTATTGAATAAAGTTTGCTATAAATATCTTGTTCTGAGGGGTTTTTCCCATTTATTTTAAATCAACTGTGTGGACACCTTTTTTTTGAAAGGATTGATTCCTTCAAGGTTCATTTTGCTGTTTTGAGGGTTTACTTTTGCGCAGATGATGGAGGTGGAGTGTAGTGTAGATGTTTGCTTGGCCATGTTGAGTCCGATGCTTCAATTCGCTTGACTTCCTTGATGACTAAAGTTTGCAAGAAGATAGGGTAGGTAATTAGGTTTCCATTCGGAATGAGTCTTACTTTGAGAGTCGAGTCGTGCATTCTTGCTTCTACAAGCCTCATGTATTCTTTTCCTACTTCATTCTCCCCGGAAGCTCGGATATACGAAAAAAGGTCCTTGCACAGGTCTCTATGTACTCCTTTTTCTACCAGTTTCTTCCAGTTGCCAGACTTTTAAGTGGTTCTTGATAAGGGTATCATAGGTTTCTATTGATTTGTGATGATAAATAAGTTACGACCGCAATTGCAGTAATGGGATCTGTAAGATGAAGGCTATATTTGCACTGAGGAGTGCCCCGGTTACTCTCAGAGGAAGGGCTCCAGAGTGTTATAACTTTTCTCCTCTCCTCCTTTGTCTTTCTAGATCATTTGTTTCCTTCGGAAGTTTTCAATCACATGTAAAAATGTATCTTTATTCTCACTTCGAGTGCCTACCATTTTTCATATAGCAGATGCATACAGCTGTGATGCCGATGCTTGAACCACCATATCCACCTCGATCCTCAGATTTGGTGGAAAGCCCTATTCAAGTATGCAGAGAATTCTGGCTATGTGAGATTATTGGCTCAAACATCAACTTGGCTCTGGTTATTGATGTATTTGACAAGTACGCACTTAACGTGATGCAATTCATCACTTGGTGAGCGACGGCGAAACGCATGTCGTACGTCAGAAAGGATTGGCAGCGCGGAAAACTTGTCTTATAATCTTTATAAAGTCATATCAGTTGATCCTGTGTAGTAATGATATTGTAATTCATGCATAGCTCAGTTGACAGAGGCCAAATAGCATCAACACATCAGATGACTATTTACTTTCAAAAGTACTTTCAAAAGGTCTGAAACGATCAATTTCTTCTTAGTCTCAAGTTTAGTACAGGCAGTGAAGGTTCTTCCCTGCAATGAAGGTATTGCTGTTCGGGTCTGGGTGAGGAGCACCTATCAGATTCTGTAAACCTCTCTTTGCAACTCGAAGTTTTAGCAGATTTAGATCTCTGAATGGAAATGACTTCGAAGTTCATGGCGCACCATAAATTAAGGGAGCCACGAGTTCTACTCCCTTGCCATTTATTAGTTTTTAATATTTCCAATTTCAATACCGTTTTTAAATTACTTCTCTTTCTTTTCACGAATGAGTTCCCCATGAAAGGAGGATGTAGCCTTGACTGACAGTTTCCTTTGCCCATTCAAAGAAGGCTGGCATACAGCAGGTTGGGCTCATATAGCCCTCATGGCTGAGAGTTTAAATCCCTGAGGGTTGGTGAAGGATTGTGAGACTCCTATGTGATAGATAGCAGGCACAAACAATCCATTGTAAGTACGGATATGGACAGGACGCACATTCACAAGCTTTTGCCATTCCAGATGAAATCAATTGCAGGGCGCATTCCAAAGCGGAGTTGACCAAATCCAACACTTTGAGGCTTCTGATTTCTTACTAATCACTGAGTTGCTCCCGTTGTACATTGGATAAAATAGTTTTTTTTTCGTGGTCCTCTGTTAACTTCCGTTTTTCGTGCCTCTTTCTCAGCGGTCAGTGTCTTTTCACACTCCGTCACAGTCAT